AATAATAATAATAATAATAATAATAATAATAATAATAATAATACCAAGCAATCTCTGTATACTACTGCTTACAACAATCTATATATGTATAAAAATACTTAAGTATGTTTCCACTTATCAGATGGAACGAGCTCATGAGAATGATAAGGGAGATGTCACATGATAGCTCTATTATGAGGGCTGTCTTAAGAATACATGCAGAGGAAGTAACTACAGAGAACATACATAACAGTACAACTCAGCAATGGCGTTCACATCAATGGGCACGGAGATTAAATCGCCACCTGAAAATAATCCATACTGTATCTGGATACAAGGTCAGATTGACCATTTGGTCTCACCACTATATCATAATAAGCAAGGATATGGACAACTTCATATTTTTTATTTAGCTGAAGAAACAATAAAATGGCATGAAAAACCAATCAAATCTAGGGGGTATGCGTGAAGTCATGCAATGATTGGATGAGATCATGTGACAAGTTCACGCTTCTGCAATGAATGCATCAAATGAAATGAAATACACGTATATGAATAAATAAATTGTGTTGCTACTTAATTAATAACCTTTAAAATGGCTGCCAGAATGGTGAACATTACACTGGCTACAGCTAGTTCTATATAATATTCTCACCTGAGGTACATCAAAGAACAACACATCTGGCACCTTGCTACTAGCAGAGGTTTGATACCTAGGGGCAGTTGTGTTTCCAATTCTCACTACATTATCCTGCACCTCACAGACCTTTGAAGTAGAGTCACTTGTTTGAGTTGCAGCACTGATACCAGCATCAATCAAAACTGTGTCCAAGGCCTGGCGGGCAAGTGATGGGAGGAATCTGAAAAGATAACAGATACATAATGCAGGATTTAAGTTTCTCACAGCAATGTTTATGAAGCATTCTGCTTCTCATCTGTTTTCACGCTGGTTTCTTTTGTGGCTTATTCTTTAAACCTAAAGATGAAGGCGACATGTTCCCCTGAAACATTAGTTTTCAACAGACTACGTGGCATTATATGCCAGAAGACAAAACCTTCAACAGATACATTTTCAAAGGCATAATTCAATAACCATCCAACATAACAATCATGGCACATATTATTAAAATGAACTCAACATGCACCAATATCATAATGAAAACAAGACAAACAATGACAAAATAGAATAGCATCCGCCAGCACTGATTTACATGTAAGACAATGAAAATGAAGACCTGTGACAATACTGACACATATCAGGAGACAAAAGAAAAGAGTTGGATACGTAAATGCAAGGAAACGGTGAACACCAAGAACTTTATATAGTGGGATTTTGAATATAATTCCTAAACAATGATATATGAATGTACACTTATTGATGGAAGACTGAAAGGAGCAAATCATATTCTGAAACATTCTTAAAGAACTATATAACATATGACAATTCACTCACGGAGCTGAGCCCTTCTTGAGAAGACGTCAATTGTGCAGCTACTTAAGAACTTCCCAGCATTTTATGGAACACAAAGGTTCATTACCAAGTTCACAAGAGCCATCCAGCGGTCCCTGTCCTCAGCCAGAACAATCCAATCCATACCATCCCATCCTACCTTTCTGAGATCAATCTTAATATTGTGCAGCCACCTACACCTTGTTCTTCCAGTGGTCTCCTTCCTTCAGGCTTCCCCACAAATATCCCACATGCATTCTCATCTCCAACATTCGTGCTACATGCCCTGCCAATCTCCTCCTCCTTGATCATTCCAGTTATACTTGGAGAAGTGTAGAAGTTACAAAGCTCCTCATTACGCAGTTTTCTCCAACATCCTGTCACTTCATCTCTCTTCGGTCCAAATATTCTCCTCAGCATCCTGTTCTCAAACACCCTCAGTCTCTGTTCCTCCCTTAAAGAAAGATCAGGTTTCACACCCAAACAGAATCACATTCAAAATTATAATTTTGTGTATTCTAATTTTTATGCTTTTAGACAACAAACGAAAAGACAAAAGGTTCTGGACTGAATGGCAGCAAGCATTCATTACCCAATTCAATCTCCTCTTAATTTCCTCCTGAATCAGGTTTTGATTTAGTATAGGCGTTCCCAAATACCTGAACTGCACCACATTTTCAAAACATCTGTTACATATCATTAAACAGAGATCAACTAAGATGGGTGGTAGGATTACTTACTGGACACTGCGACCTAAGAGGGCACCTTTTCAAACTGGGACTGACAGACAACCCAGCTTGTGAAAGGTGCCTACAAGAAGATGAATCAGCCACACACAACTTATGTGACTGTGAGGCTATAGTTTACGTAAGATATTGCCACCTGAGTCAATTCTTCATGGAGCCAAGTGACTTTTATGATACCACTATAAATAAAGTCCTACATTTCATTTGAAGTGTGGGATTAATAAAGGGTTAATTTATAGGGGAAGGACAATGGATCATTGAAGGTCGCAGTGCGTGGGTCAGTTTTTATGGCTCACCCATCATACTCATACTCATACAAATCTTTATGTCCTGATACTGCCATGTATCTTGGTGACAAGATAACAACATATACTAGTTTTCTCTGTGTTTACCTCTAGACCAATCTTCTTAATAGCGTCAATTAAAGTTTGTGTTTCTATTTATGGTATGTAGATTATCACCCAGTAGATTCACATCGTCAGCATAGATCAACAGCTGATGGGTCCCATTTAATTTCAGTTCCACCAGGTTTTCTTGGACCTTCCTAATGGCATATTCTAAAGCAAAGTTGAACTGCAGTAGCAATAAAGCATCTCTTTGTTTTAAATCATTCTGGATATGAAAATTATCAGACAAATGTTTACCTATATGGACTTTACCATATGTTTCGCTTAAACACATTTTAATCAGCCTAAGTAGTTTTATGGGTATCCCAAACTCTATCAGAATATTGTTACTTCCCTCCTAACTGAATCATAGGCTTTCTTGAAGTCTATGAATAGCTGATGTACTGTCTCACTGTACTCCCATTTATTCTCCTGTATCTGATGAATGCAAAAGATCTGATCCGTAGTTGATCTGTTATGTTGAAACCAACACTGATGAACCCCAATAATTTCATCTATGTATAAATGAGTACCAGGAATTAATTAAATAATTTTCTGGGGAGTGAAGCTTGGCCGGTGCGTAAGGGTGACAACCTTACCACCATCTTTGAGCCAAATGTCTAGATAGTGTGGGACCCTCAACATCTCAAAACCCTATGGGCCTTCACGGCCTGGTACATGGATAGCTTTACTTTTTACATTTTTATGGGCTTAACCTTGAGAGAATATTGGATAAAATTTTGTATGATGTTGATAGCAGTGATATCCCACAATAATTATTAGTCAGTTTTATCACCCTTCTTGTCAACTGGTACGATAATAGACTCATTCCACTGATCAGGCAATTTTTCCTTATGCCAAATAGAAGTAATTAGCTTATGGATCATAGAACATAATATTTTGCGTCTTGCTTGAATAAGTTGTGCCGCAGTTTGATCACTACCTGGTGACATATACCTTTCAATTCCACAGTAGCACATTCAACCTCAAAAGTGCTAGGATCAGGTATTAACGGCTCAGCTGTATGGATATCTGTCTGCCTAATAGCGCTGACCCTATGTACATTCAATAACTGAGGGAAGCAGTTCTTCCACCTGTTCAAAATGTTGTGGGAATCTGCAAGCAGATTACCATTCTCATCCTTCACTAAATTACTTCTAGGTTGGTAACCCCTCATGAAATCATTTATTCCTCTATACAGGTCTCTAATGTTCTTGTTCTTAATGTTCACTGCAAGCTCATCGATTTTGTCTTTCAGATAATCCCTCTTTTTATTTGATTTGTTTCATTCTGCTCCGTCACACTAACAAATTACAAAGAAAAAATAACTCCGTCCAGTGTGGCTATTGAAGATTTTACTACTTGAAAACTTAACACCCTTACATGTTTCAGTCCTCTGACGAGAGGGCGGGTCTGTCTGTTGTATATGCTGCTGGCCCTTGCCAGCGCAGTCTTACTCGGGTCCGAGTCCCTTGGGACTTGAGTCCCTATTTTACTGTCCCAGATTTGAGACTTCCCTTTTTGTTGCCTCCTACAANTTTTTTAGACGACATAGACCCTTCTTTCGTTCAAGTAAACACGCACCCACTGAAAGGACAGTTCCTTTCAACACGTTTCACAAACAACCGCTGGCGCTGTTTGTTCTTAGCTTTCCTAACCACTAAACCATATCATGTGTTTGGAATGTGTAAATTATAGTCAGCGTTGATACCACTGTGAGTCACGAGTTTATTTTTAGACTTCCTGGCATAGGAGGTGCAGTTGCATGCGTACATTCAGCGACTGCGTTCTCTCCATAACAGGGGAGTCCAAACTGCATAATTCTAGCGTGATCCTTTCAATTCTTATGCCATTTCGAAACTTAGCTTACAGCTTAACGTACACAGTACGTGAAACCACAGACAGGGGCATTTAAATACCACGGTACGACAAACGTCAAACCACCGTAAAGGGTTAATTTTTAAAGTGAACAGTGCACAAGTTAGGGTAGTAGGTTTAAAAATGTCGGTCCCTAGGGTGATTTAAATATTTAAATCGCCAGTCCGCGAAGTGTTAAGTTACAATTTATAAACCAAGTAGGTTCATGTCCCTTCTCCTATCGTCTTTCTTGACAGGGGCTGAACTTGTGCTGCCTGTCTCTCTTGAGAAGGAGATTCTTGAAATGCCTGCTGGCTTCATGCTTACGAGTATATTGTTCAGATTATCCCCATTTGTATTTTGCTTGATTCTGTAACCACTGTTAATTTGGTGTGTTTTCTTTGGTCTAATAATTCTGACCATCCTTCATCACACATGGTAGTGTAGTTGGTTGAGGCACTATGCTACAGCAGGAAGGTTGCGGGATCGAATCCCAATGAGGCGGATTTTTTCAATTTACCTAATCCTTCCAGCTGCACTATGGCCCTGGCGTCGACTCAGTCTGTAACATAAATTCTTGGGGGTAAAGGGTGACCGGTGCGTAAGGCTGACAACCTTACCACCAGCTACGAGGAACCTCAACATCTCACAACCCTATGGTCCTTCATGGCCTGTTACAGGGATAGTTTTATGTTCAATTTTTTTTCTCATTGAACAATGGCTTATGCTTCTTTGGTTCACAATAACTTAGACTCTCCTCCACAGACATTTTTATATTCTCTCTAATAGTTTCCCAACCTTTATTTACATCCACCTCAGTGACTAGATTTTCCAAAGCTGCGAACCTATTTAAGATTTCAACATGATACTGCTCTTTACCATTTACCTTGTTTAATTTCTTGAGATTGAACCTTCTTCATATGAACTCTCTGTGTTGTTTATTTGCTCATTGCCAGTCTTTCCTTAACCACCAAGTAGTGGTCAGTATCTCAATTTGCTATCCTGAATGATCGGACATCCAGTATATTTGAATGCCATCTCCTATCTATCAAAATATGGTCAATTTGATTGTGTGTCTTCTCATCAGATGATATCCAAGTAAATTTATGGAACACTGTACTTTTGACAGTAAGATTTTTTGATGTGGCAAAGTTTACAACTCTTAACTCCATTATCATTACTAATTACATGCAATCTCTCATTCCCCATCATTGGTTTGAAAATGTCTTCCCTCCCCACTTTGGCACTGAAGTCTCCTACCAAAATTTTCATATGGTACTTCAGGAATTTATCAAATACATGTTATAGTTCTTTGTAGAATCTGTCAATGGCCATGTATGGCTGGGTATAGGATAGGGATCATGAGCTCTGCATGGTCAGAGGTGACAGATATCAGGAGGGCATCAATGAAGACAGTTCTGACTCTAGTATTATGGTCAGGGTTTTCTGAAAGGTCCTAAAAAGACTGGGATGCACAATGGATCCAAAAGCAGTTTGAGTGCTTGGGGTAGATGAAGGTTCTCTCCCCACTAAGTCGGTACCAATACCAATTCAGTCACAGTGACCACAGAGCGACTAAAACCTAAACTGTTCAGACAAAATACAACAGAAATGGGTGCTGCATCCCTTACATAGTGGGCCATTCCTGATTCTACTGTTACTGAAAGGGGTTTCCTGGGATGTGATGCCATGCAGTCTGGTAGACAGGTTCTATTGTTTAGGTGGAACGTTGCTACCTGTCTAGCACATTATATAATACCACATCCCAGATGACAGTAATTTTCATAGTCACAATCATGAGAATGTCAAATCTTGACTACCCTTTTAAATAGGACAGTGACACCAAGGGGCTGCAATGAGCTGTAAAGGTGAAGTTGTCTCTGCGCTTACTTAAGTGCCATGACATGAAGACGTATGGGGGAGATGAGGTATAGCTTCACACATACTCAACATGAGAACCAGATGGAGGCATATGGATGAAATGCACATGTAGTTAATATCGGGGAATTATAAAATGCATATAGACTTTGGTAGGGAAACCTCTTGAATAGCAGCCACTTGGAAGATCAGGAAGGTGATGGACAAATGATATTAGAATAGATCTAAAGGACATACATTATAAGGATTTGAACGGCTGTTATTTAGTTACTTATCTGCAAGTGCTAAAAAGTCTCAGATTATCAAGTGTGTCAATGTTGAGTTAAAAAGGTTTTTAACTGAATACTGACACAGCTGACTGCCTGAGAAAATTTCAGCATATTAATTTATCATGAAAGATTCATATCCTTCCTAACTGTAAATTTTTACAGGCCTCTTTACAATTCATTCATTCATCCCTAATCTGTCAGATGAGAGGTCCACAGTCTCTTCCGAAACAGTTCCTCCACTTAATGTGATATAGAGCTTTCTCCTTCAAATGAGAATATCCTCTTCTGTCCCCAAGGTCATCCAGCATCTTCTTACATCTTCTGGTCTTCTATCTGCCCCTCTATCTTACCTTCAATAACTTCTTTTAAAAGGCAGTTACTGCGTAAGATATGACCAATCCAATTAACCTTCCGTTTTCTTATTTCGTGTAGGTTATTCCTCTCCTCACTGACTCTAATTAACACTTCTTCATTTCTCACATAATCGGTCCAACTGATCTTCTCCATCCTTCTCCAACACCACATTTCGAAGCTTTCCAGGTGTTTCTGATCTACTGCCCTAAGTGTCCATGTTTCAGCCCCATACAAAGCCATGTTCCAAATGTAGCATTTCACTAGTTTCTTTCTCAAATTTAAGTCCAATTTGCTGGCAAAAAGATTCCTCTTGCTACATGCAGCTTTTGCCACGGCAATCCTAGATTTAATTTCACAAGTACACCTTCCGTCATCTGTTAACAAGCTACCCAAATATTTAAAACATTTCACATTCTCCAGTTGTTTTGGTCTATCTTTATTGCGACTGGGGTTGGTTGTCTCAAAATTTTCATTACTTTTGTTTTTTCCACACCTGGAGAGCTTAATTGGTATGGTGATGGGTTGTGGGATGGATGACTGGGGTTTGGTTTCCAGTGAAGGCAACATTTTTACCTTCTCCACAACATCCAAACTGGCTCTGAGACCCACTCGGTCTCCTATCCAATGGGTACTGGGGGCTCCTTCCCTGGGTGTAAAGCGGCAGGTGCATGAAACTCACCACTCACCTCCACCTAGTGCTGAGGTCAAGAATGGTGCAGCTTTACCTCCATCCCCACACGCCTTCATGGTGTGGAGGTTAATTTATTAAGCACAGGGAAAAGTTTATCTTTACCTTATAATATACATGTTGCCCCTATCACAGTCTGCTTCATTGTCATGTTGCAGTTCTTAAAAATGAGAGAACATTATAAAATAGGTTACATGGCGTCCATATGTGGTAAAGTCTTCATCTTAAGTGTCAGGATCACCACTTCACAAGTTATTCTGTGGAAGCACAAACATAAACAAATTTACCTTTAATTATAGAATAAGGTAAGTTAATCAAGAAAATTGAAGATCCAAATAACCAAAAAAATGGTTATAAAATTCAAAACACTGAAGAAGTTTAAAGAACAGATTGGATGTCCAAGGTAATGTACAAGATATGGTTACTGTGTATCTGTATATTGCATTTAAATTGGAAATAAATATGCTCTTACCTTGACAAGCAGGCTTGTTGGATAGCTGCAGCTGGACTGTCTGCTGCATACACAGCCATGCGTCGAGCAATACGTAGTAGTTGTCTTGTAGACAGAGATCCAGCTAATGACTGCAGAGTTGGATCTTCTGATGCTCTAAGTTTGTGAGCTAGTTCCATGACACTAGCCAGCGACTTACCAACTTCACCATACTAAAAGAAAATAAATAAGATATAAAAGTTTGTGATGATGGTACATATGTACAAATATTATGTTTTTGGACATTACAAATCATCCTGTCTTTATCTAAAATCACCATCTTGTTTATTTTTCAAAACTCTAGCTCTACTGATTGGGCCCATCTGAGTAGGTTTTACCTGAAGATGGAGTCAGAATGCAGCCTCTGAAACGTTGTTTTTTTGAAAAATAAACAGGATGGTGTTTTTAGGTAAAGACAGGATGATGGATAATGTCCAAAACATAATAATTGTAAAAGAGAATATTTTGTCCCACAGTCACACCAGGGAAGTTTGAACGTGGTATTTCTATGCATCTGCAAATTCTTTTTGTGAGTTTTATTTGAACAAGAACACTACTATAACTTCTCATTTGTACTCTGGCTGAATAGGTATGCATTATATTTAATGACAAACCTCAATAAAATGCAGCAACAAAAGGAAATATTTATTATCTCTTCAGATAAAAACCAATAATTGGCATTTTGGAGAATCCTCACATAACCTCTAAGTCCTGCAGGGAATTTTGGACTACCACTTTAAATCAGAGTCTTCTAAATTTAGACCGAAATAAATGTCATATTACATTCACAGATAGTGCAGGAATATATTCAACCTCCTATTAAAAGTGTGATAAAATAATGCTTTTGCTTATTGTCGATTAGTTACAGTCTCATGTGCAACACTGTGTTCCATAACTTTAAAAGTCCATCACTACATGTTTTGATCAATGTGGTCATCATCAAGTGTTAAAAGTTTTTGGTGAGAAAACTGCTGTTGCTTATCTTGTTAAACATATAGGTCCTCCTGATGCAGGTATATGTTTGAGTTGGTGGGTTGTGTTCTCTCGTGATTTTTTCTTTGTCTTGTTCTTGAATGCATTCGATAACTATGATAACTATGTGAGATAAGCGTTGCAGGTAGCATATATTTCTTCTCGGTAAACACACTTCTGTGCAGGCGTAATGATGTCACACCCCAACAGTGCTTATCTATCACATGACTTGCGTTCTCTGTGTGGTTTGCACTGTGCAACAGTAGAATCATGTTTTCTGTGCTGTCAATGCCATGGCTCTATAGCACAAGTCTGGAGCTAAGAAGCTTTTATTTGAGTTCCAAGGTTCCAGAGTGATTGAACAAGAAATGGCAACAAGACCTCATAGTAATTTGAAGTGCTAGTTTCTGTGTTGAGATCCGTTGCAAGGAGATGAATAGTGAAGACTGGGAATCCTAGTGCGTGTGCAACAGTGGACTGGAAAGTGTGGAGAATAGTGACAGAATTATAATTGAGTGTGATTAAGAGAACTTGTAACTGAAGTGGTAATAAATCCAATCTAATGAACTAGAACCTGTTATTTTCATCACATGTACCCCCCTAGACACGACAATACTAAGAGCTGTCTTTATAAAAAAGGCCACCAAAATCTGAAACAGATTCCATGACAAGAGTCTACATATCTCTCTAATATTAGTAACATGCAACACATCAATCTATAACTTCTGTAAGGGTGTTCATATGTTCTGAAACTCAACTAACTTCACTGAGCACAGTTCTTCTTCAGAGCCTAATGGTCACTCAGATACTCGAGAAATTCTGCACCCTTTAAAAAAAACGAAATATTCAGTATTGTGTTCAAACTTAGTGGATGAAAACACAGATAAGTGAACAGAGTGGATTTTATGAAATGAAGATGCAAGTCACAATCCAATTATATCTTGTTTATTTCTTGTGTGGACTATGTGTTACTAAAATCCTAACATGTTTCAGTCTTATAAGATCAACATCAGAAAGTGTACATTATTAAAAGAAAACTTCATATTATCATTCATATGGGACCAAACGATTAAAATTAAAATATCTGGGATGCAGGTTATAGCTAGTTCAGTTCAAAATTTCACCTACCTTACTTATTTACTTACTTACTTACCCATGGCGCTGAGCCCTTCTGGAGGAGCTGCCAATTCTGCAGCTACTCAAGAAATTCCCAGCAGTTTATGGAACCCGAAGGTTCATTATCGTGTTCACAAGAGCCCTCAACTGGTCCCTATCCTGAGCCAGATCAATCCAATCCAATCCATACCACACCATCCCATCCTATCCCTCTAAGATCCATTTTAATATAGGCATAGTTGGGTAATTATGCCTTGGTCTTCCCAGTGGTCTCTTTCCTTCTGGCTTCCCCACCAATATCCTATACGCTTTCCTCGTCTCCCCCATTCATGCTACATGCCCTGCCCACCTCATCCTCCTTGACTTGGTCATTCTAATTACACTTGGAGAAGAGTACAAGTTATGAAGCTCCTCATTGTGCAGTTTCCTCCAACCTCCTGTCACTTCATCCCTCTTCAGTCCAAATAATCTCCTCAACACCCTGTTTTCAAACACCCTCAGTCTGTGTTCCTCCCTTAATATCAGAGACCAAGTTTTACACTCAGACAGAACCACAGGCAAAAATTACAGTTTTGTATATTCTAATTTTTATGTTTTTGGACAGCAGACGACAAGGCAAAAGGTTCTGGAATGAATGATAGCAAGCATTACCCAAGTTCAATCTCCTCTTAATTTCCTCCTAAATCAGGTTTTGATCTGTTATCACTGTTCCCAATATCTGAACGGTCCCATATTTTCGAAACATCTGTTTCCTACCTTTATGTCATGATTTTTCCCTGCATTTTGGTGATGAGACAGCAACATATACTTACTTTTCTCAGTGTTTACTTCTAGACCAACCTCTTTACTTATGTCAGTTAAAATTTGTGTGTTTTTCTTTATGTTATCTACATTATCACCCAGTAGATTCACATAATCAGCGTAGGCCAACAGCTGATTTGTCCTGTTTAATTTCAGTCCCACCTGGTTTCCCTGGACCTTCCTAATGGCATATTCTAAAGCAAAGTTGAAAAGGAGTGACCCATAATAAAGCTGCACAGCTTTGGAATTACTGACACCAACAGAAAGCGAGTATAAGACAGCACCATACTGCATTATACAAAAGAATATAACCAATTATGCCAAAACAATAACTATCACCTACATTAGAATATTATAACATAATATTAATTTTAGGGACAATTATATCATAGATATTGTCATATGTACAAATGACTATTGACAGGGCTTGGATTGGTAATTTGGTTTACTAACCTTTTACAGATCATAACTGCATGTAACTATAGCGCTATCACTAATTCACATACTCAGCAGTTCATAACAGCATGCACTAAGTCTTTTCAGTCTACTGTGTCTTCACTAGTCGTTGCTTGGTAACAGCAAATGTTCCCCTTACTCTGGGTTCCCGAACTATCCCCGTGCCTAAGCTAGCAGCTTCTCAGTTCAACAGCTCACAATGAATAAACTGCAGTTCTCTGACTAACTCACTAACTTACCAAGAAACTCTTCACTTCCCTGCAATGCAAAGCACTAACCTGCACTAACTGTCCTGCTTATAACATCTCAGCACGAAACACAAAAGAAAACACTGTTCCTCTGTTGCTATTCAACTGTTGCTTGTCAGACTGCATAGAAAACACCGTTCCTATGCTGATGTTCAATTGTTGCTTGTTAGGAATCTGTTGCCTAGAAGTAGGCATTGTTTGCACACTCATTACTTAGTAATGGGTCTACATACTACAATATTTCAATTCTCTGGATTCATATGTGATTTGTAACGTTTTCTTTTAATAAGGTACATCTCCCTGATGATGGTCTTGTAAGACCAAAACATGTCATGGTTTTAATAACTTGACATCAACACAAGGAATAAACAGACATATGGANGCAGATGAGATAAATAAGTGACCAAAATATATATTGTTGCACTTGACGGAAAATCTATTGACAATTGGTGATTAATAGTGTAACGGACCAAAATGAAACAATTCAAAATAGTAGACATATGGAGATCGTGACTTCCATCTTAATTTCGTATACATAGTATATCAGAAGTCCTGTGTGGAGGCAGTTTAGAATACCTCCACTGCAGCACTGCGAGTCAAAGAAGGTGATGAAAAGGAAACCAAATGCCTGGGGTATAACTCGGACACCTTGTTACTGGAAGACATAAGTACAGAGACCTGGTCCTCCAGGTTGGGGGTTGGCCATGAGGCTGACAACCTTGCTCTGTAAAATAATTACTGCTGCAAAATCCAAAGAAGTGAAAATAAGATGGTCTAAATCATGAGAGAATAAAAAATACTGGCAAAAACTTCTCAGGAAGGCTATGGCTCAAAAAGAGCTGTTTTGCTGTTGCTGCTGCTGATGATGATGATGATGACAACAGTATATCAGGAAAAAGAATTCTATTAAAGTCTAAATTTTACTTCATACTTATAGATATACTGAAAAAATTTGAAAATTCTGATGTTTGTACACACTTCTCTTAGCCAACCTTAAAAGTACACCAATTAATGCTCACTGAATAAGAATGGAATTCCTTTTGGGTGTAGTATCATAGGAGCAACGCAGAATAAAAATGATGTGGTAATTACAAAACTTAAAACTCCTATGGGATAAGAACAGAATTAATACAAAACAAATACATTGCCCAACCCCTGAAGACCTTCTGGACAGCCTTCATGACCTTGGAATCCTATTTAAATATACAAAAGAGTAAAAACTCTTGGAAAAAATTGAAGAAGACATGTGAAGTAGCTCTTTGGCCTGTCACTGTGTTGAGTCAGGTTTACTCTGCTGAAATGCTTCATGGGATTCCTTCCATGCCATGCAATCATCCCTGTCCTGCGGTATTTTATATATCTGATCTGGGCTCACCTTGAAGTGCAAATTTTCTCCTCACTGTAGTAAGATATACTAGTATATGTTTCTGTTCTTTAACATTTACGGTATTATAATATTATTGTCTAATAGATCTCTACTGGGCAAGAGGCAGGCTTTGGACAGACAAATTCTAGACTTCAATAAAAATTTCAAAAGAAAGTGAAAATGTGAGACCTTGATTTAATTCATGTCTGTGCTG